TAACAGAATCTAAGTCTAGTTCAGAGGTGGAGTATTAGCAAGCCAACCCGGCCACAGCACTGAAGCCACCTTCCCCAGAGTTTTATTACTAATAGTTACTTTGATCTCTATTGACCTGACTCCTGCTCCAACTCTCAGTTCCAATCTTGGAACTGGAAGGAGGGTGTGTTATTTATTGGGCCCCTCAAATCCTCATGGAACCTGTATAACCAGATTCTGACAACCTTCACTGCTATGCCACCAGCTTTAATCACCTCATTAATTGCAGTCTCAAAAACTTAATTGCCTTCCCTGTTTCCACTCCTGCCCCGCTTATAGAATATAGCACCAGGACTGATTACTTTATATGAAAGCAATCACCTCATTAATTGCAGTCTCAAAAACTTAATTGCCTTCCCTGTTTCCACTCCTGCCCCACTTATAGAATATAGCACCAGGACTGATTACTTTATATGAAAGTCAGATCTGGACACTCCCCTGCTCAAAACCCCCCTTATGGCATGGAGTAAATATTAAGTCCTTCACAAACATTACTGCTCATTCCATCAGATCTCATCTCTTGCTTTCCTCCTTGCTCACTCCACCCCAGCCACACACACTTGCCTCCTGGCCACTCCTTGAACTGGCCAGGCACATTCCCACCTCGGGGCTTTTGCACTTCTCTCTGCCTACAGATTTTCCCCAGATAGCCAGATAGCCTGTTTGCTCCCTTTCTGTCACCTTCTCAATGAGGAGCCTTGCCTAATAACTCTACTGAAATTTACAATCCCGACTCCCACTGCTGAAACCCCCCCATCCACTTTCCTATTTTTCTCCGTAGCTCTTATTATGGATTATTCTGCTTCCACAAGGCTTCTCCTCCCTCTCCTAAAGCCTATGTAGCTCTCATATAGCACTTGACTGTGTTCTTGGCTGTATGCAAAATACTTGTGCTTATTCCCCCTCCGAAGGCACTTCTGTGCATGTATCCACCATACCCTATACATTATGGCCCTCTGGTGTCTGAGAATGAAGGAATATGGTTTAGACAAGTAGCCAAAGCAGAAGAGTCAAGGTTTTGGCTTTCATTGTACCCTGTTTGTTCTTAGTCTTGTACAAAATTTGGATATTACGTGCAGTCTGATCATTGCATATTAAGAATGGAACTAGAGAAAGCTCTGGTCAGAGCAAATGAAATAGGACAAACTTGTGAAATGAGGCTAAAACAAGATCTTTTGCTTAAAAAGATGGAGGCTTAAGAAAGATATGACTAGAGGTGATGAAACTGTGTGATAGTAGAGATAAGAAAGACTAGTTGACCATAATATAGTGTCAAATAATATGATAAAATTTCAGATATCATCTTTCTAAAAGACATACTTGCCTAGAACAGTGCTTAAAACATAACATTCACTAAATGTTTCCTGAATTAAAGTATTAAGTATAATCCCTACTTTGAGATGTTTAGAATTTTATTAGATGGAAAACTTAGAGAATTTAAAGAAAACTTATTTTATCTACCAACTTTATTACTTACTTATCAAATATTTACTACATTTAAAGCCAATTTAACAGTAACACAATAACTACCTATTTGGTATTGCTTAAGATTCATTCAATAAAAATCTATTTTGGGCAAATACTCACACAAACCAAGAAAAAAAAGATTTCCAGATTTTTATTTCTGGAACTGTACACCAGGTATTAAAGTACAACAAATACAAAATAATGCTCAAAAAAATCAGTGTTTATGTACAAATATTAAAATCAATGCAACAATAGCAACTTCCTCTTGAACATCTGATACTAAAACTTGTTCTGATTGTCACTAATTTATCTCATACAGGGTACTTATTTCAAACTGGGACAATTGGAATCACTGGTCATCTAAGAGGAATATTATTATCTACCATATTTGACAATAAAACTAATAGTTTCCTCCTTTTAGTGAAAAAATTAGGAACTTTTTAAAAAACATAGTAATGTCAATATTTTTATAAATTATTTCAATTTCCATTTGTAGGCAATGTGCTTTGAAACTCTGGGCAAACAATCTCCTTGGTGGTCAGGTTTATTTGTTAGTTTACATTCAAAGTTGAAATAGTCACTAAAGACTTTGGTTAAATTAAATAGAATTACTACACTCTACTACATCTGACATTCTCAAATATTTATGACCCTCAACTTTAAAAATTAAAAAGGAAACAATTGCACAATTCTTTGACCTAATTGTATAGACTTTTGTATTTTTTAAACAGTATTCTACATCCTTCAAGTAAATTCAGCAGTTGACCATGACAAGAGGAAAACCGAACACTTAAAAAGCTATATGAAAAAGATGAAGTACGACTAACAGAAGTAAAGTATTGCTATGATCACAGCACCAGTTACACTTCTCAATGAGTCCACTGTCCTCTTCAAACTCCCTGTACAAAAAAGATATATCAGCCAGCACTGCAACTGCTCACCATGAATTTTTGGTTTGTTCATACAAAAAATGCGGCAAAGGAAAAAAAGTAGTAAAAAGAATTTATCACAGTTTGTTATAAGAATTGTGCTTAACACTTGATAATAAAGGCATTGTTTCTTCATATGATTGCAGATCAGTTATTTTCATGCTTTCAAACGCAATTCTTTTAATAAACAGTAACAAATTCTCTATTAAGATGTTTAAACGGAGAGAAAACACCAGTAAATCCAGCCTTTAAAAGAAAATTCAATAAATAGCTATTTTACATGGATAAAGTCATAGTGGTACAATTTATGAATGTCACATCAAGCATGCACAAAAATGGTATTATACATGGCAGAAGTAGTCAGAAAATACTGAATTAGAGCTAAAAAGATATGAAGAATTTACACATATATACAAAAATCTTGCAAATTATTGCCTCATTTTAACAAGGAATTAAAAGTAAACGTTACCAGCTAGTTAGCACTCTCTAAGAGCCTAACGTCAGATTGGCATTTAAAAAATCTATTGAACTAGCTGGAATTTATTTTTCTCTCATACCATTTTCTGGATTTTGGTCAAAAATCTTTATTTAAATAACTAAAGTGTCCATTCAACTTGCTGATAATCAAAACTTTAGATAAGAAACATTGTTTCCATCTTATATCAAGATCCCAGCAATGCATAGATAAACTGAATATATTACTGCATCAGCTACTGAGAATGGGTATGTTCATTTAAGTGCAACTGGTATTAGCATTCAGTCATCTTTGTGTAAATTATTTATACAGACCAGCCACTGTAAACCCAGAGTGAAAATTAAAGTTACAACAATGGAAGATTATGGCCAGTATCTTACTAAATTATAAAAAATGTGTTGATTTTCAACAAAAGAAATAAGGTTCAAAGTTTAGCACAACACCACAGCAATAAGAAGCGACAACTTGGATAAAAATATCAGAAAGCAACACAGAGCCCAGGCTACCCATTATTTACTGTGTGCACACAGGAATGCTAGACTTTAGATGTATAAATTAGAGACTGATTTTAAGTTATTAATTTAACTACTTTTGTCCACTGTGCTAAACTAAATTTTATCATAAATGTGCTACTGCGTAAACACTTCAAAGCAATCTTCATTAAAATGCTGCAAAGAAAAATAAGAATACACATCATCCAAAACTAAGGATGTCATTGCAGTTCACAGTTTGTATAATAAATACCCTCCCTTTCAATCACTACTAAGATAACTACGTTCTATCTACTCATCAGCACAACCTTGAAGCGACTTACACTTACAAATATAGCAATGCAGCCAAACATTTAAGTTTTTTGCAAAGCAATGCAACTAGAAAAAATCAAAAATTTTAAGACGGTGCAAAACAAAAAAGTAATTGTTTTAACTGTACTATAAAAGGAAAGCTTATTACATGCTAATACTGTCTTACATATTGTTTGATTCACTTTATAACTTAAAGATGCATATCTATCGAGCAAAAATAGCCAAAGTTTATGACAATGGCTTCTCATTCACAACGTTTGGAATAAAAATAAAAATAAGTTTGAGATGCATCTGAACGTCTATCACTTTTTAAAACTTAAAGTGGTAATGTACCATTCTATTTCAGATAGGAACACACATTTTTCTTCCCAACTATTCAAGCTAAACAAAAAGCTTAAATATACTTCAAGGTTCTACTGCATTATTAATGTATGAAATCTAGAAGTCCCTCTAAATATTAACACTTTGAACTGCAGTGCTACAAACAACTTAAGAGGTGTCCCAAAACGTAAACCATTGAGTGGCAACATCCTAGGCTTTGCAGACTGTGCCTCTGCAAGTCAATTGCCTCAGGATAAACTAAATTATCAATGACTGGTATGATTTTTAAGATTACAGTCTTCACAATGGTGGACAAAACCCCATCTGAATACCACATCTTCAAATGCCAAATTTTTAGCCAATAGGTGAAATTACACAGAAATCTCCCGGTGCAAGTCAATTGCCTCAGGATAAACTAAATTATCAATGACTGGTATGATTTTTAAGATTACAATCTTCACAATGGTGGACAAAACCCCATCTGAATACCACATCTTCAAATGCCAAATTTTTAGCCAATAGGTGAAGTTACACAGAAATCTCCCGGCAGTAAAATGACCAATTCTGTGTAAGGTAGCCCTGGTCTAGAATTTTGAAACAGGATCCAAGCAAGTGTCTTCATAATTTGCACGCAGTTCCTCGTGCTGGCTTCCATAAAGATGGACTTGCTGTTTTGTAAACTGAAGTGCTCTAGTTGAATAATATGAGAGAAGTTTCCATTTTTAAAAAATCCTTGCATGTTTGTGCAGTTTAAAGAAACCTACCCCTGCTTTTATTAATTACGAAAATAAAACCAAAAAAATGCTACATTGAGCAGGGATCAGGATCGTTACCTGTAAACATTGTTATTCCACTGCATCCATTACGGCAAAAGGATTTCCACAAAAAGAGGCCACACCATTCAGTTCAGAACATCTGTGCTGGTTTTGAGCTTGTGGCCTCTGTCTACAGGTTTTAAAATTGGGAATGAGGGCAGTGGGGAACAGAAAAGAATAGAAAAAGAAGGGAGTGGGGAAGAGGTATTGGGGGATGAGGAAGAAACAAGCAGAGCTTAAAGCTGCACCACAGAGTTCAATCTTAGTTCCCAACTCTGCTGATCATAGTTCATTTCCACATTTATGGATTGAAAAATGAAAATACTCTTGATAAATCAAGATATAGTTCTATACATACTGACATCACTGATGTCATAGTGAAAAAGGTTCAAACTTCCAGTGAAAGACTATGCAAACCTGATAGCTCCCCTCAAGTGTACTGGTACTGCACACCCACTGTTTCTGGGCTCCTCACTTGTGTCACTCAGAGTGAAGGGCGGCGTGCTGATGCAGAGCGTGGGCACTGATGAAACCATTGGTCTCGGTGGCAGAGAGACTGCCAAAGTCAGCCACAGAGACTGCCATTTTGGCACTGGTGATGTGATGTGTGTGATTTTCAAAGTCCACACCCAAATTATTTACAGAAACCTCATTCATAAAGGATTCAGGGACAGAAATGCCCATTTTCAATCTCTTTGCTGGTCTTTCTGACTCTTCACTGCATATGTTCATAGGGTTTAGCTCCGAGTGATAAAATCCAGTCTCAAATAAATTAAAACAATCACTTTCCCCATTGCTGGGCAGGGTGAGTAACTCTTCCGTTACAACAGGCACATGATTTACTTGTCCACGGGGTGTGTTGCCCAGTGGAGGAAAGCTATCATCCAAACAATTCACTTCTGTGGGGTTGCAGGCAGTTGCTACACTGTTGGTCAAAGCTAAAAAGAAATGGAAAATGGTTTAAGTAAGTGGTCCTATGACATGAAACAAAGAGGACATGATTTTGTACCAAGCTATACTAAAGAACACAAAAAGATCTTCATTTTACCTGTCAAGTCACTGGCAGTGAAAGAACTGAGAATGTTCAGCTGTTGATCAGGAATAGGCTCGGGCCGGTTAGAAGTTAAGGCTGAAGAATTTACCGTTCCACCCAGAGCTTCTGTTTCATCTACCAAACGATCCATATAGTCTCTGAAAAACACAACCCAATAATTTTATGACTGCATATCACAGTTAAAAGCTAAAGTCACTGGGGCTGGCCCGTGGCTCACTCGGTAGAGTGTGGTGCTGATAACTCCAAGGCCACGGGTTCGGATCCTATATAGGGATGGCCGGTTTGCTCACTGGCTGAGCGTGGTGCTGACAACACCAAGTCAAGGGTTGAGATCCCCTTACTGGTCGTCTTTAAAAAAAAAAAAAACAAAAAACTAAAGTCACTGAAGTCAAGCCCACAGTACTTACGTAACTCCAGGGTGATGGTTATATCGTTTCTTTCCAAATCTTGTCTGTTGAGCAAAGTAATCATAACGTTCAGATTTCTTCCACATATAGTAGAATGCTACACATTCAGCAACTGTTCTGGTTCTCACCTTATGAAAAAGTTGTTTTAAAAAACAAATCAAAAAATCAAACCCATTTTTTTTAGCAACATTTTCCCCCCACTGTGTAACTTGAATCCACAGGTGTTATTTTCTGTCCTCCTAATTATAAAATTCTGAACACTTTTATCAGTGAAATGTCTTTACATTTAATACTGAGGCCATTTTCAAAAGCCCAGGGTTGTTTTTCTTAAATCTTACACTTTTACTGAAAATCATAAAATGCTAGCATCCTTTATTTTTCTTCAGTGAACTCTCACTGTGATTCTGACGATAGCAGGGGTTCTTAACCTTGGATTAACCAACCCCTGAGGGGTCCGTGAATAGGTTTCATTGGAATTCATTAATTCCCAAAATCATACACAGTATATGTTTCTGGGGTGAAGAAATGCAGCCTCATGAGATTGTCAAAGGGTTCCATTATCCAAAAGAGATTAAGAACTGTTGGCAAAGGGATCAGTAATCTATAGCATCTGAAATTTAAGATGATTTACTCAGGGCTTTCCGCCCACTAACGTGTTTGGCTCTTAGCTCCAACAGATTTTGGTAATAACAACAATAATAAAATGTGACCCTCATCAACTTGGCTCCACACCCAAACTAGGGCTCCTCTAACTATATACAGTCACAAATATGAGTTCAGACATATGGCAAAATTCTTTATCCTTATCCAATAAACACTTTCTCCCATGTTTAATCAGTACCCAATAAAGAAGATTCAGTATCTCTATCCCGATTCCTAAGCAAGTTGTGATACAAGATCACTACTATAGGAACAAAATTTTTAAACCAAAAAATACAGTATACCTTTCAATAAACGTCATTAACTATAAGCCTTCACAGAAAATTCAGGCTTCCTGGGGCCACAGACCTTTTCTGTCTTATTCACCAATGTATCTCTAGTGCCTAAAATAATGTCTGGTAAGTGGAAGGACATAATTGGTTATGAGATGAATGGATAGAGTAAATTTCATAAGTCACGGCAAAACTGATGATTTTGACCTAAAAGGACAAGCCAGACTTCTTCAAAAATGTTTTATCTGGGGCCAGCCCGGTGGCGCACTGGATAGTGCGCTGCTTGGGAAGCGCGGCGGCGCTCCCGGCGCGGGGGCGACGCCGAGGGTTGCGATCCCGTTGCCGGTCCCCGGTCCGGTACGGGGGCGGCATGGGGGTTGCGATCCATTGCCGGACACGGAAAAAAGACAAAAAAAAAAAGTTTTATCTGTTCACTAAATTTAATACTTCATCTCATCTTTGAGAAAACATTAAGTTTTCATATATACGGAAAGCATGAAATTTTCAACATCATACTGAAAGGCCTATCTAGTCCAATAAGACAAGAAAAAGGAATAAAAGGTAAACAGATTGGGAAGAAAGAAATAAAACTCTCTGATTAAGAAAATCCCAGAGAATCAGCAAAAAACTCCTGGAATTAATCAGCACTTATAGCAAGGTTGCAGGATAGCAGGTTAATATACAAAAGTCAATCCCTGTACTGGGCAGCTGCCAAAAAAAAAATAATAATAATACACACACACACACACAAGTCAACTGCTTTCCTCTAGTAATGAACAAGTGGAATTTGCAACTAAAAACACAGTATAATTTACATTAACATCCCCCTAAAATTAAATACTTGGGTATAAATCTAGCAAAATATGTGCAAGAAGTATATGAAGAAAACTACCAAACTCTGATTAAAGAAATCAAAAAAGAACAAAATAAATGAAGAGATATTCTCTGTCCATGTATAGGAAGACTCATTATTGCTAGGATGTCAGTTGTTCCGAACCTGATCTATAGATTTAGTGCAATCCCAATTAAAATCCCAGCAAGTTATTTTGTGAATATCAACAAACTAATTCTGTATGGAAAGGCAAAGGCCCAGAATAGCCAACATGATATTGAAGGAAAAGGATAAAGTCAAAGGATTGGTACTGCCCAACTTCAAGACTTAGTATAAAGTAATCAAGACAGTGTGGTATTGGGGGGAGAAACAGACAAGCAGACTAATGGAATAGAAGAGAGAGCCCAGAAATACATCTACACAAATAAAGTCAATGGATCTTTGACCAAAGAGCAAAGGCAATTCAATAGAGGAAGAATAGTTTTTTCCACAAATGGTGCTACAACTAGACATCCACGACAAGACAATGAGCCTAGACACAGACCTTACCCCTTTAAAAAAAGTAACTCAAGATGTATTATAGACCTAAATGTAAAACGCAAAACTATAAAGCTCCTAGAAAATAACAGGAGAAAATCTAGGTGACCTTAGGTATGGCAATGACTTTTTTATATTCAATGCCAAAAGCATGAACAACCAAATATAAAACTGGTAAGTAGGACATTATTAAAATTAAAAACTTCTACTTTGTTAAGGGAATGAAAAGACAAGTCTCAAATTGGGAGAAAAGATCTGCAAAACACGTATCTGATAAAGGACTAAAATTCAAAATATACAAAAAACTCTTCAAACTCAACAACAAGGAAACAAACCGCCCAATTAATAAATGGGAAAAAGATCTGAACAGACACTCAAAAGATAAACAAATGGTAAATAAGCATAAGAAAAGAGATCATTAGGGAATCGCAAATTAAAACAACAATAAGGTGTCACTAAATACCTATTAGAATGGTGAAAATCCAAAACACCGACAATACCAAATGCTGGCAAAGATGTGGAGCAACAGAACTCTCATTCGCTACTGGTTGGAATACAGAATAGTACAGCCACTTGAGAAGGCAGTTTAGTAGACTTTAGTTTTTAAAGGAGTTTTAGGTTCACAGCAAAACTAAGCAGAAAGTACAGAGAATTCCCATATACCTCCTGCTCCCACACAGGCATAGCTTCCCCCGCTATCAACATCCCACACCAGAGTGGTACATTTGTTACAATCAATGAACCTACACTGACACATTATCACCCAAAGTCCATAGTTTGCATTAAGGTTCACTCTATATGTCATACATTCAATGGGTTTTGACAAGTGTATAATGACATGTATCTACCATAATAGTAGCATATAGAATAATTTCACTGCCTTTAAAAATCCTCTATGCTCTGCCTGTTCATCCCATCCTCCTGCCTAAACCCTGGCTATCAGTGATCTTTTTACTCTGTAGTTTTGCCTTTTCCAGAATGTCATACAATTGGAATTCTACAGTATATAGCCTTTTCAAATTGGCTTCTTTCATTTAGTTATATGCATTTAAGATCCCTCATATCTTCTTGTGGCTTGATAACTCATCTTTTTGTCTGGATGTGCCACAGTTTGTTTATCCAGTCACCATGAAGGACATATTGGTTACTTCTAAGTTTTGGCAATTATAAAGCAAGCTGGTATAAAAATAAACCTTTGTGTACAGGTTTTTCTGTAGACATAAGTTTTCAACTCATTTCGGTAAAAATTACCAAGGAGCAGGATTGCTAAATCATATGGTAAGAGTATGTTTGGTTTTATAAGAAACTGCCAAACTGTCTTCCAAAGTGGCTGTACCATGTTGTATCCTCATCAGCAATGAATGAGAGTTCCTGTTGCTCCATATCCTTGTCAGCATTTGGTGTTGTTAGAACATATTTTTTAGTTGCTTTTAGTAACAATGTTTCTTCTTTCAGACACTGCAGTTCTCACTGCTAACATGAAACTGAAACACTTTTTTGAACCACAAACCTCTGAACAGCTTGGAAAGAAATGAAAGTCAAGGAAAAATGTAGAAGAATAAGAAAAATATAGTGAATTTAGTTTCTGTGGGTAGGATGTTATGTGAGTATACTATCAGCCATTCCATGAGCAGGCTGTGGAATGTACTAGAAAATTCCAGTCATATTTAGAGAGCTATTAGAAATGTTAATGACAAGGGAACATTAACAAATTGGTGTTTTTCCAGTTCAAGTAACTGATAATTTAGTTGCTTATACTCATTGTAACTAGTAAGCAATTTCTCTGCACTTATTTGCCTAACTTACCTTATTCTTCTGTATAAGGTGAAAATCTTTTCCAAAAAGCATGAGTGCATGTTCAAAGCTTCGGCATTCTTCTTCTGTCCATGCAGTCATTCCTTCTAAAAAAATTTAAAACAAAATTCACTGGCTTCAAAATTCTTTTATGTGAATCGCTGATTTATTTTCAGTATGTTTTCCCTGTAAAAGGCCATCACACACACACACACACACACACACACAAACTCACTCTCTCTCACACACTCTCACACACACATACACACACACGAGTTCTGTATGTAGATTTGTTAAGATTACGAAAACTACGCATACAAACTCACTCTCTCTCACACACTCTCACACACACATACACACACACGAGTTCTGTATGTAGGAGATTTGTTAAGATTACGAAAACTACGCATTCTATAAATCTTTGCAAATAGCCTAGAACACAAATATAAATACTGCTTTTTTTCTTGCATTGTGGGATAAGAATTTAGTATTTCTTTATAATTTATGCTCATTTTTGTGATTTTTTTTTTTTTTTAAATAATGAGTATATACCATTTTTAAATTAGAAAAAAAAGGCTATTCCCTTTATGGAGGAAAAATCCTTATTTTAGTTTTATGTGAAAACTGTAAGCTCTTTAATTATAAATAAAGTATATTCAACACCTATTTATTTAAAGTCAGTGTATGGAAATAAAAAGGAAATAATAAACAGTCCATGCTATCAAAATACTAAATCCCATTCAACTCCCAGCAAATGTTAATCTTGGTGATTTAAAAACCTACTTGCGGTAGAGACCTGGAAGGTCTTTATAGGGTCATAGCCTAGACTTCAGAGGTAGTTTATTATCCCCCTTTCTCTCTGAAGTGTCTCACTCAATGACACTGGGGAAAAGATCCCCAAAGCCATTCATCGTAGTCCACGATAAAGGTGAAAAATAGTTTGAGTTTTGAGAACTTAAGGTATTTTCAAAGTAGCAGCTTTTACAAGGGAAACATTTCAACAGACTCTCAACCTGAGTTTAATGTACTATTTTCAGCTTTCATATTTTTCCAAGCCATTTATATAATATTACTAAGTATTATTTTCGCTCTACACATACTTAATGAAAGCTATGGTGCATGCAATCATTTACATAATGACAAAAAATACTGAAATAAAAGTTAACACACAAAATGAAATCTAAGCATTGTAAAAATGTTATTACATGATTACTAAAAATATACTTCTAGCAATAAATTCAATGGAATACATTACACATTTCTTTTTTTAATCTTAATCTCCTTTTCATTTCCTGTCTGTTTAAAAAAAAAAAGAAAAAGAAACTTTTTTTTTCAATAAAATCATAAAATCATTCTTTTTAATTACTTTGGATATATTGTCATCTCTGGGGTCTGCTCTGTTCTGTAACTATTTCTTCAAGAAAGTGGAGGTGACAGGGGGGTAACTAATTTGTATTTGAACAATCTCTGGTACGTCTAAAAATAGAGGGCAAGAAAAGGAAAAAATTATTTGCTATGAAAATGAACACAGATCTTACAAAAGTGTTACAGGATTGCTCTGTCCTTTAAGATACTTTGCTAATTCTGATCCCCAAATGACCATCCCCTGTCATTTCCCTCTCTTGAACCCAAGTGTTTTTTACCTTGAGCTGCCTTTCCATTGCAGCAATACCTTTCTATTGCTTCCTTTATATTGTGGTTACATTTGAGAAGTTCATACAATGCCTAGGAAAGAGAAGGAGGGAAAAAAAACATTCAATAAAAATTACCAAAAGTTAATACCTGACAGCACAGCACATAAAAAACATGTTCTCTCAGAACAGGGCTGGGGCGGGGGGGGGGGGGGGAAAAAA